GCTCATGGCCATCCTCTCGCCCTCCCAAACGGTGCTGTGGGGGCGGCAGGACACCGCTGTCCTTGAAGGAACTCTGTGTGTAGGGTGAGGTGCTGGGAGCTGGACCATGGGGGTGCCAGGTGTTCCCTGTGCTCTGCACTCACAGCTGTGCTCAGCCAGGTGTTCCTGTGCGTGCTGCACTCCCAGCTGTGCTCTGCCAGGTGTTCCCTGTGCGTTCTGCACTCACAGCTGTGTTCAGCCAGGCGTTCCCTGTGTGTGCTGCACTCCCAGCTGTGCTCAGCCAGGTGTTCCTGTGTGTGCTGCACTCCCAGCTGTGCCCAGCCAGGTGTTCCTGTGTGTGCTGCACTCCCAGCTGTGCTCTGCCAGGTGTTCCTGTGTGCTCAGCCAGGTGTTCCTGTGCGTTCTGCACTCACAGCTGTGCTCAGCCAGGTGTTCCCTGTGTGCTCAGCCAGGTGTTCCCTGTGTGCTCTGCACTCCCAGCTGTGCTCAGCCAGGTGTTCCTGTGTGTGCTGCACTCCCAGCTGTGCTCTGCCAGGTGTTCCCTGTGTGTGCTGCACTCCCAGCTGTGCTCTGCCAGGTGTTCCCTGTGCTCTGCACTCCCAGCTGTGCTCAGCCAGGTGTTCCCTGTGCTCTGCACTCCCAGCTGTGCTCAGCCTGTGGCATCAGCAGGGTTTGAGCCAGAGCTCAGCCAGGACCTGTTCCTTGTGAAGCCCTGGCAGTGGGCAGGGCTGTCCCTGTCCGTGGGGCTGCAGCGTGGCTCTGTGCTCCCCAGGGCTGGGCACACAGGGTCAGACCTTCCTGCTGTCCAGTGGCACATCTCCTGGGTGTGCTCATATTCCTGAACCATTCTGCCCTCGGGCAGGGTGCTCAGGGATGTTGCCTTTTCCTGGGGGCTCCCTGGGCATCTCCTGGGGGGCTCCTGCAGCTGGCAGTGCTGGCTCTGAGCGGCCTCTCTCCCTGCAGGCCTACAACATCCACGTGAACGGGGTGCTGCACTGCCGGGTGCGCTACAGCCAGCTCCTGGGCCTGCACGAGCAGGTACGGGGACACCGGGGCAGAGCTCCTGCTGCTCCTCACCTTCCTGCAGGGCTCAGGGTGCTGCTGGGCTCCCACGGGGCTCAGGGTGCTGGGAGCTCTCTGCTCCCTTCGGTGGCCCTGGGGGTCAGCGAGGGTGGGGATGCTGCAGCAGCACTCTGTTCTCGTCCCAGCTAAGGAAGGAGTATGGTGCCAACGTGGTCCCAGCCTTCCCCCCAAAGAAGATCTTCACGCTCACCCCAGCAGAGGTAGAGCAGCGCCGAGAGCAGCTGGAGAAGTACATGCAGGCTGGTAAGCTGTCCTCCCTGCCCTGCTCCGTTCCCTGCGGTGCCGCTCGCACCTCCCAGGGCAGCCCTGGCGTTTGATGGCCTTGTCCCCTGGGTGCCAGCTCCTGTGCCAGCCGCTGCCCTGCTCTGGCACAGTGGGGCTGTGCAGGGGGGTTCCTGGCTGGCCCCAGGCAGTGCTGTGTGTCCCTGTCCCTTCCCGCGGGATCCCTGACCGCTCGTGCCCCTCCTGCAGTGCGGCAGGACCCGACGCTGGGCGGCAGCGAGACCTTCAACAGCTTCCTGCGCAAGGCCCAGCAGGTGAGGGCACACCTGGGGCAGCTCTGTGCCCCCGGGCTGTGTGAGGGGCTGGGTGCCAGTGCTGTCCCTCTGTGCAGGAGGGGCTGGGTGCCAGTGCTCTTCTCTGTGCAGGAGACGCAGCAGATCCCCACGGAGGAGGTGCTGCTGGAGGTGCTGCTCTCCAACGGGCAGAAGGTCAAGGTCACCATCCTGAC